AAACTCTTCCATTTCCTACTGGAAGCAGAAATAAATCCTTCAAGATAATCTCCTCAAAATAGATGTTCTCTTGTAATGACAGATGGTCCATATATTGTTTTACAGACTCCTTTTATAATAATACAGCTTGGTTGTGTTTGGGTTTTTTAAGATTCTGCGTTCTCAGTATGTTCTTGTTCATTTTCCTGCAAGCATATGGCTAACAGTATGAAAGAAGACTTAGGTCTCTAACCAGGGAACCTTCATCCTAGCTGCTGGGGCCACTGATTCCTGATCTCTCCCTCCAGTAGATCCTACCCAACAGACACCACTGTTGCTATAACTGCTTTTCTTACAGATCTTAGATAGCAGGAGGTGACTTTCCATTCCCATTCTCCCTCTGGAAAGCCTTGGGGGCAGTCAGAGTAGCATACTGCCAGCACCAGTGATTTCATTTTTCTGACTGGAACTAGGGACTGGTAGGTGACCCACGGGGTTGAAATAAACAATGTCATTCCTAAAGGTCTCCTGCAGTCATAGCGATATCTATCTTGATGCAGGAGGCCTGGAGGCAGTTTTACTGCCCTTTCCTCTCCACTCTCCACATGCTGTAGGTTTTTTTTATTCCTAAGTAGCCTTTAGTACTTGCATACCATCCTGCTCTGGCTGGGGACAAAGCTGTGCTGGCTCAGTAGTCTTGTCTGAAGCTACTGACTGGTGATTCTCCCTTGCTTTCTGGCAAGCCAGACGCGATGAAAATACTGGTCTGGAAACCATGTAGTCAGTATGGTGCTGTGCCAGCAACTCAACTAGATAGCTTCCAGATCACAGCTGGCTTGCCTCCAGCCCTTTCTGAGTTTGGCCACAGCAGGGCTCTACCTGTCCACTCCCCTATATGCAAGCAGAGTCTTTACAGCCTCCTTGTTTTTTGGATCTTTTGGACAATTTTTTGTCTGCCAAAGCTTGATGGCAGGTTATATTTGGATTGCACCCAGTTTTGATATTAATTGCTGCTCTCTGTTGGGAAAACAAAGCATGTAAAACTAACAAAGACAACTGAAAGCTGTGACTATATCAGTCCTGAGTATTCTACTACCTGTGTGGAATGAAGTCTAAGTATCAATTTTTATATAGTAAAACACTATTTAACAACTCATTATTATGTAAAGAAGTTATGAACTTTTCTCATCCCCTAAGACAAAGAGAAGACTCAGTAGCAAAACATTAGCCTGTACAATTATAAATCTTAAAATGGACTTGTACAATTTACTGGAAAGAAAATAAATACATAGACAGCTAAATGACGCAATAGTCTGCATTTAAACCTCTATTCAGCCGTCATCGCCTATTCAGCAAAGGAAAGCCTATGTTAACATCCACTGACTTTGAAGTGGTTTGCTACATCAGGAGTTGAGGAGTCAAGAACACCACTCATGTTCAGTGGAAGTAGAATTTAACTGTCAACCAGGAAATCAAATTATCTTTTCTGAGAGAAGCGTCAGCAGAAGCACACGTAAGCATTTGTCAGCTCATACATCTTTACTGCTGTTTGGTTTTGCAGACAAGAACATGCCCCTTTCTGTTTCCTCTAGCGTGAACATTGCCAGAAGCTCAGAAATCCAAGCCGCTGCCGTGCTTGCTACCCAACACAACCATCTGCTGGACTGTATCCTTCATTTGTGTTTCCTTCTAGAAAGGAACTTGCAAAATGTCTTTTCTACTATTTTTGGTGAGGCTCATATAGGTTTTTTGTTTGGCTGTTTTTTTGGTTTTGGGGTTTGTGCGCTGTTTTTATGAAGCATTTACTCCTGGCTGCAGACCTCCTTTTACTTTTGATGATGAATAAAGGATGGACAGCTGGCCCTCCTTTAACACTCTACATTAGCAGGCTGTTCTGCAGCCAGCAGTACAAGTTCCTGCTGCTCCTGCTCTCTGTATTCTTACTTGATGGCTTCTGGCAACTGTAGCTGCCGGTGATCAGCACTGGCGTAGCAGAGAGCAGCTGTGCCAAGCATGGCAGCCAGCAGGTTTCTGTGATGTTACAGGAATGAATTATGTAGGACCTTTATTTTAATGGGAGATATTTTCTGCTTTAAAGTATCAGGGGGTGCTGTGGCTGTGTGGCTTGTACTTTTTGCAAGTTGCTTGTAACTGAAGATAGATATTCAAGCAAGGATAAATTCTTAAGGAACTCAAGAAGGGCCAGGCCAACCCAAGTTTAAAAAATACAAGTATCTCACATAATGGTGATAGCTGTTATGATAATTCAGGATGCTAATCACATATACAAACAAACACTCTCTGATGAATCTGATTTTTTCTGTTGTAAAGAGACAAATCTTCATTTTTTGGTGTGTGCGTGCCTGTCAGAAGGCCTGGAGCCTTCCCGTGCCAGTACGAAAGGGCAGCCACCTGATTCATGAAATCACTGTAGGTGGAGGAATGTTCGCTGACTGGGTTTGTTTTTGCTAAATGGTTGCTGCAGCAGAACAACAAACATCAGCCTACACAGCTGCTCTCTCTGGCTGTAGCTACCCCACCTATGTCTGATGTTAGTGTGTGCTTTCACTACTTATAAACCCCAGGTAGGAGTGAGCCTGGGCAGGAATTGACATCTGCCACTGAAGCGCTTAAAAGCAGCAGACTGTGTAACACGTATCAGCATTTGCAATGGTCTGAGTGTGACTCTGAGACCCTGGTTCTGCCAATGTCATTGTAAGGGAGAAGGGCATGTTTATTGACTGGGAGAGGGGGAAGGAAAGATGCCATGAGGATCCTGGAGCAAAAATCAGTATGTGTCTAAGTGTTTGAAATGCAGGGCCTAAGAAAGACCATACTGGAAGCCAAAGAGTTCCTTTTATTGGTATTACCAGCACAGGCAGGGAGAGAGGGAAGAAACAAAATGAAACAGAACATTTTAACAAGTGCCCTAACTTGGTTGCTTGTGCTAGGCAGGCGGTATTCCATAAGGGACAAATAGTTGTACAGAGATATTAAAACCTGCCCAAGGTAACTGTTAGCAGCTATTCAGTTGGGATGATATAGACAGTGTAAGGGTTATCCATGCTGGTGAGGTGGTCATGATAAAGAAATACAGCTGCAGCTGGAAATCTATATTTATATAAGTAACTAAGCTTTGAAATACTTGCTGAAAATGAAAATACACTGCATGGTTAGGAAACCAGAAGGCAAACATTTAAAGAAATACTACTGCTTGTTTTTTTTTCCCCACCAGTTTTAAGATGACCCTGCAGTGCGATTTCTTAACGTTTGCGGTTAGGCACCAGAAATACCTCCCCGTATTTCAGGTAGGAAACTGACAAGCGCTGTAGCTAAGCACCTGTACGCAGAGCCTGACCCGGGACCGGGTCCCGCCTGGGGCTTTCCCTAGCGATGCCGGGTAAGGTGGAGAGGGTCGGGCCGCCTCCGGGGAATGGGAGAGGCTGCCGGGGTGACAGGTGGTCTGAGAGGACAGAGGCTTTTCTCTTCCCTCAGTGGCGAGGCCCCGCCGGGGGCTACAGTTCCCCTCGCAGGCTTCACCGAAGCGGGGCTGGCACGGACGAGACCTCGGCGCTGAAACTACCGCCGCCACGGCCCATCCGGCCCCTGCGAGGGTAGGGTAGGGTACCCGGCCGAGTCCCGCAGAGTCCAGCCACGGCCCAGCCTGGACCGCAGGGAGCCCTCCTCCCCTTGGGCGTCGCGGCGGGGAGGGGCCCGGGCGGACCGGTCCCGCCGCGCAGCTCCCGCGGCCGGGCGCGGCTGCGGATCGCCGCCCGGCCGCTCGGCTTGGCGCGGCACAGGCCGGGCAGGAAGGAGGAAGCTTCCGGCGGCAGCACGGCAGAGAGAGCAGCGGCACCGGGTAGGCTCGGATTGGGGGGGTAGCCGTGCACCTGCCGTGCCCGCTGTGGAGGCGGAGCGGGGGCGTCGCTGGCGCTTCCCGCCTGTGCGGCGGCATCGGCCCCTTCTGCTGCGGGGCTGCTCGGAAGAGGCGGCCGGGCGAGGGCGGCAGCGTGGGGTGCTCCGAGTGTCCGCCGGCAGCAGTGGGGAACGCGCTGCGGTGCTGCCGGGGCTCAGGCGTTCGCCTTCCCGGCCGCTGCTGTACCCCCGCCTCCCCGTTCGGTTCCCTTCACCTTTTGTCTTGCTTTACCCCGTTTATTTCTCTACGGGCTTCACCAGCGGGCGGGGTCAGACGCCAGACAGGGGGAGGGTTGTTCTGCGGGCGCCCCTGGGTTCCGTTGGTAGCGGCTGGAGTAGCCGCTGGCTTGTGACCCGAAGCGATCCTACAAAGCAGTTGTCACCCAAGGGCAGTGCCCAGCCTTCGGCCGGCGCTGAGCTGCTTGAAGCCTCCCCGTGGGCTGCGAGCAGCAGCTCCTAGGTCACAGCACCTTGTACCGATGGGGAAGGCCGCCCAAAGAGAGGTGCGTGTGTGCCGCTTTCCCTTGGGCTGGCCCCGCGGTGACGCTGTGCTCATGTCCTTGGCCTGTGCCCGACTTTTGGGGAGGCTGGGTGAATGCCCTGGCTTCCACAGGGTCATGTCGTGCTGCGGTAGCTGCCGCTGCGGTTGGTAATACCGGGTGCTGGGACGCAGGTGTGGATTCACTGTGTATTCACAGGGTTCCTGTCCCTTGTTAAGCCAGGATTAACTGGTTTCCACTTTGTGTATTAAATGGAAAGAATACGGCCATTTAAGGTCCGAAGGTGACGCATTTGGCAGTTTATGGCTCAGGTGCAGAGCTGCTGGCAATTAATTACAGTATGCATTTGCTCTGCACGTGTTTAAAGGCCTTTTGAGTCCTTCAGGGCACCCTGCTGAGGACGTGCATTACCCCCTGTCCCTGTGTACACAGAATGAATGTCTGTCTTCCAGGGGAATTGTGCGGGGGGAAGGGGATAGGAGAGGGAGCAGGAGCAGGAGCAGGCAGGAGCTTCACTCTGGCACCCCAGCGTGCACCACAGCTGAGCCAAGGTTTGCAGTGGCAAAAGCCAGTCACGAATGGGGGTGTTTTCCTGAAACAGGAAGGGAGGTATGTTTCAGCCGGTGCAGCGGGAAGCCTGAAGGAGCAATACAAAGTTTGGAAGGTAAAAATATGGATTCAAAGTAAGTACCAGAGTATTGCTTTATACATTGTAGTACGAGGAGAAAGTATAGTATTTCTTTTCGTTGTCAGGGAAAATAGTTGCTGAAAAGGAAAGAACATAAAAGCGGTTTGAGTGATGGAATTGGAGTTTGTTCTTGGACTTCATTGGTAAAATGGAAGTGTAAAGGGTGTAGTGGTGAACTACCAGTTATGTGTTGTAGCTTGTTAATGTCATTCTAAAGAATAGCTTGGTTTAAAAATCTGGTTTAATCTCCAGCAGGATGTGATCTTTATAGCCTGTTATCAGGAATTTTATTGCCACTAGTTTCTTTTCTTTTGTGGAGGAAGTTCTGTTTGTTAGCAACACATGAATGTCAGAGGAACTTACGGATGTATGGAGACAGAGATTGTTGATGAGTAAATGAAAACTTTTGTGTCTCTGCCTGCAGCAGGTAAAATGAAATCAGGCCCTGTCAAATGGTTAGAGTGCAGTTCTCTATAAACACTGCTGAAGCCCAGTCACCTTTGCTAGGGCTGTGTGACTCCGGTCTTACAGCAGGGATACACTATTAGGAGGTAGTTGTGTGATTGATCTGTCTGGCAGGTCCACAGATGAGCAACCTTGTGTGACTTGCACTGAAACTTTTTGTACCAGGTGTGAAGTCTTTTTCTGCTTACACTAAGGCAGTAAAATAGTAACCTGTTAAACGATTACTTTTCTATGTTTACAATTGCCTTGTCCCATTATATTTTAAGAGAACCATTTGAAGAAGTTTATGACCTCAGAGTTTTGTTCTTTGTTGGCCTCTCATTTTTTTCCTAGTAGATATTTCTGCCAGCATACTTAGCGTGATCAGTTAAATAGTAGTTATAGTGTTTGGGATATCTGTGACATAGGAGAAGTGGGGTTTGGGATCACCCTGAAATAGGCCTCTTACTGCTGGAAGAAAGATTCACTCCTACTGTAAGCTGCCTGTGCCCACCTCTTTTTCTTCTTACCTTTCTTCTCCCACTGGAGCTATCAACAGCTCATTTCAACCAAACATGAAATTAGTGACAAGCAGTTGTTTTGAAATAAGAGTTCAGCTGACATAACTAATGAGCCACAGCTGTAAGGGGAGTCCCACCTTTAGTCCCTGCCTTTATGCTCTTACTGCGTCAGATTCATCCTACGTAGCAGTTTTGTGGCCACAGGGTGAATTAATATTCTCTGTTGGACCAGCTGTTTTTCAGAGCAGGTTTTCTGATGGATCAGCCACCTGAACCATTGCTCTGTGACTACAAGGTCTGATTAGAGGGAGGCAGGGACCTGCAGCTTTGGGTGGGAGACTGGAAGAGAGTGTAGGGTTGCACTTTCCCTAACCTCTGCAACCTCAGAGAGGAGGTAGGAAATTCCTTTCGGAATGATTATGGGGTCTGCTGATTAATTGCGCAACCAGTTATGTGATGCAGGGCCGGGGGAAGTGGTGGAATATGCCAAACGAGATTAACAAGTTAGTTCACTTTTAAGAGAGGGAGGTGACAAGTTGAACCAGGACACAGGAAAAAATGAAGGTGTGTAAAAACTACAGGTACGGCAGAAATGTTTCATCAGAAAGGAGAAGACTCTTGATCTCTTGGTGGGGTACTCTGTTATGTGAAGAGGTGGTAGTTTTCTGCTGTTGCTGGGGGAAACAAGCCTTTGTGGATAGTGAGGCTGTCGGGTTGCTGGCTTTGACACAGCAGATAATGTTTGATGTTACAGTTCAGCTGGCTGAGGAGTAGTTTTTATTTCTGTAGTAAAATGGGGCAATAAAGATGAGAGGAGAGAGGCTTACACCTTTGCCTGCCCTGTGGAAGCCTCTGAAATTTCCAGGTTAAGACAAACCTTTGGTCTTGGCAGGTGTGTTTTCTTCTGCTTTAGCTTACCTCCCGTTTATTGCCTGGAGAGCTAGTCCTATATCCCAACAGCTTCTCATCAGGAACATGACCGGCTGTTGCTGGTGTTAAGCCCACTAGCTGGGCTACCAGGAGGGTATGGGTTCTGTTGCAGCCCCCAGTGTGTTACTTGTCATCCTGCTGGGGTGGTTCTGCTGTTAGGACACAGTGAGGTCTTGTTTGCATGCTTGAGTTGTGGTCACACCTTTTGCCCACAGTGCCTTTTATCTTACTCAACAGCTGGCTCACACTTGCTGTGAAATAACAGTGCAGCTAATTCCTGTTGCAGTACCTGTACTACCCCTCTGTTAAGGGGCTTTGGCCCAAGTTTGAACAAACAGGAGGAAAGCTCTGATATTTTAAACCAAACTAAACTGATGCTGCCATGGTCTGTCTCTTCCCTGCATGTAACTTATGCACCTCTCTCTGGTTCTGGGCAAGCTGGTGCAGAGAGCTCAAGTGCTGAAAAAGAACACTCCTTGTTTGATTGTTTGTTGGGTTTCTTTTGTTTCTTTTCTGAGTTTTCTGAAAAGTGTGCAGCACTGGTAACTGAGACAGGGAAATTGGGCTGGAAGAGGGAGTGCGGGTTGAGTCTTGCTGGCAGCATTGTTCGGCAGCACCCACTCTCAGGCTGGAGGAGTCTGTTCTGGGCTGAAAACACTGGAGTCATTTTTGAACAAATTTCAGCCCGCTGAATGTTTCTGATGTAGTAAAACAGATCTTTGTAAGGTGGGGAATTGCCTATGTGTAGTCTTTCTGGGACAAAAATTCTGCATTTGGATGTCAGCTGGCTTTGGGTTATGTTCTAAGTGCATCTTTCCCTTGTGTCCTCACTGCTTTATGATGTGCTGACTTCTCAAAATAGATTATAAATGATAAAATTCAGAAAAGGCTGCTATTTATATTTGCTTAAAACTCTTCATTAAATTTTTGATGTCTAGAAGGTTAGTTATGGTAATTACTTGTTTCTGAAACAAAGCTGATTCAAATACTACAATTGGAAAATACTACGGTAACTCGATAAGAATATTTACTTATCAGCATCTTTTATTTGAAGATCAGCAATTAACAATGGCAAAGTAAAGAATTTGCCACGTTGTGACTGAAGGTATAAGGAAAAAAGCCTACAAGGGAGATCAACTCAGCAGCGTATCTTCCACGTTTGTTAACAGCCTATCATCGCATGGCTTTGGGAGGAGCTTTGTAATCCGTTCTGAAGAACAAATAACGTTGTCAGAAGTGCATAACTGTGTTGCCTAAAATTTGATACAAGCTGTTGAGTAGATGGCTCAGCTTCCTCCTGGGATTCGCTTCATCACTTCATTTTCACGGGATCAGTGGTAAGTCTTGAAGTATGGTGGCAACCTTTGTTTTGAACAGTGTAAGTTTGTATGAAAAACAGAGCAAGGCAAATACTGTTGCCTTGCTCTATATTTGCTTTCTTCTTCCTTAATATATACAGCAAGAAAATATAGACAATTGTGCAATAAATAAATATGGCTGACATTTAAAAAGTGAGATACGTTGTGAGGGAACCCAGGCAAACCTTTACTAGTCAAGTGCACTAGAGAATAAAGCCTTTTATCCTTTTCTTTGCAAGGTATAGATTTGAAGGGGTAAATTTCAGGTATTTATGTTCAGACTCCTAGATGGGAGGGGTGCTCAAGGTTAGCTTTCTTCTCTGAACCAGAAGTGTATTTTCTCCCCCCCCAGATTTGATGTGTAATATGCCCTTGTAGAATTACAGTTTTAGTTCTTGCTACTGTAATATTTAAAACCAAAACAAAACAGCCCTCAAAAATACCAAACCAAACCAAACCCTCTTTGCTTTAGGAAAACTAATCCTGGAAGTCGGATGGTATTAGTTCTTGTGCTTTCAGAGACAGAAAACTGAGTCAATTGTGTGTGAAAACAAAAATAACAAATGAAAGACCAAGCACTTTCCATTTGAGCAATTTTACCAGGCTTTCTCTAATATAGTAACAAGGACAAAGTAATTTCAGTTTTACCACTTTCAGGATGTTTTCAGTTATAGGGGTGAATAACTTCACTACAGGATAACTCTTTTTTTATTTTATTTTTATATTATTTTTTAAGGTCTCTCTGAATATGCCAGAACTGTAAAATAAGATCTTTGTTATCTTGAAGTGCATAAACAGAAAATTATTTAAAGAGGTTCATTAAAAATTAGGGACCATAGTAGGCTGTGTGATATCAGATCTTTGTATGTATATATGTCCTTTCATTTACAAATGTTAGGTTTAAGATCAAAGCTAGCAGGAGCCAGTCGATACACTGTGATCTGTCTGTTGTTAAAAGCACAAATCCACAAAACACTTCCCTTCTTAAACAACTGAGATGTGCTGCAGGTGGAGAATAGAATAGATCAGATTGTTATCTTTGTTTAATGGTTGCAGTGACAGGGATTTTGAGGTAACCTTAATTCAGATGAACTGCAGAGAAAGACCCAAGAATGCCAGGGAGGTACCAGGGAAAATTCCCAATCCCACAGCTGGTTAATTATGTTCATGTGCTCCAGCTGGCAGTACACACAGGCAGTGTCAGTCCCCTGTCAGTCTCTAGAAATGGCTGATTTCTTCTGTTATAGAGGAAGGCAAAAGTAAAGCAAAATCCTAAAAGCAGTAAGGAATGAAAGAAGGAATAACCCACAGTAGCCAAACTGACAGTTCACAGAGTCATAATTTATGTCCTAATCATACCAGAAAACTGGATGAGACAGTGAAATGTGAAATATGATTATAAATATGTTTATTGTTGAACTGTCTTTTAATGGTTGCCAAAGGATGGCTGTAAAAAAGGTGGATTGGCTCTGTGGGTTCCAGAGCACTGTGATGTCCTGTGCCTGTGTGCTACGCAGCTCCCACCCGAAGCCAGGTCATAGCAGATGTTGTAAAGTACTGTAACTTCTAGAGTGGTTCTTCAGGCTGTTAGGAAACACAGAAAAAAATTGTCTTCCACTATTACAAGATTACCAGTGACTTTTGTAATGTTTGTGTGACTTAGTGCTAAAAGGAAATCTGAATAAAATAAGCTTCAAATACTTTCTTTTCTTTTTTTTTTTAATATTGTAGGTACAGAACCTTCATTTTCTCTCTCACTTTCTTGTTGTATGCCAGCTTCCATTTATCAAGGAAACCTATCAGTATAGTTAAGGTAAGCAAGGTTGCATCCTTGTTTAAACATCCTCCTACTCCTGTCAAACACGGAAGTAGTCACCTTTTTCAGTATTTCCTTTTGTGAAAGGCAGTGTTGAACTTTAACTTGGAAGGGTTTAAAAGCTGAAAAACTGATAAAGCTAGTACGCAGTGACATTTACTTGATAAAATGTAGTGAGACCACATAGAATATTGTGTACATGTCTAATCTTTGGGTTTAAGACTTGAAAGACCTATGCCTGCACTTAATTCATGTGCGTTAATCTAATTATAGACACTTAGGAGTTTACAGGTTTACATTAATATGTTTGGAAAAAGTCAGTCATAACCGATGAGTTGAATGTAATAAAATTCTGCTAACATTTACAAGACTGTTACAAGTGCTGTTGAGCATCACAGACGTATTTGTCTGGACACCTGGGATTCACTTCCCGGTGAAGCTGGTGGGAAAATATTACCTGATTCTAGGTTTCTTAGTTTGATCTTCAACTTGTGTAACTTGCTGAACACAAATCATATCCCCCAGGGCAACGCTGAATGTAACTGATGAGTAATAATGGGTAACAATAATAGCTTGATGTTAATGCAGAATTTCAGAATTCTTCATTATCAGAAACACCAGTTCACTGTGGCATATTGTTTCTAACCATGTAATTGCTCTTTCATGTAATGGTGTCTTCACCCAGCAAAATACCAAACAGTAATGTCTAACAATTTCACTGATATCAGAGGGTTTGATGCAGGTTCGTACAAAGCTAGAGGTGTTAAATTTGTTGCTGTATAGGGATTAACAGTCACAAGTGAGTTTTCCATTTTCAAATTTCTGTTCTGCATCAGGGAGAGCTGCATAAGCATTGTGCTGCTTCACATGAAGTTGAACTCAACTCATACAAAGAATATGCTGCCCAGATTCAGTCTGTCAAAAAGCCATCTAATGTATCTCAGTGCGGTTGGGAGCCATTTGGTAAGGGTTATTTATTTTTGGTTTTGTTTTTCCCTTCATAATAATGAGCTGATGTTCATAATTAGATTATTTGCCTCTTGCTATTTCTTCTTCATGTGTGGAAGGATTCAGGAGATGTGTATGGGAGGGGTGTATTGTTTTCCATGTTCTCACTGATATTTACGAACAAAGTTAAGTGGTGATTTATAAGGTCTTTACTACTTAATGTCACCTACATAACTGACATTATTTTACCTGTTACAGCTATAAGACAGTTTCAGTAGAACAGTTCTCAGTCAGAAAATGGAATTTTCTGTGAAGGTGGTGAGGCACTGGCACAGATTGCCCAAAGAAGCTGTGGATGCCCCATCCCTGGAAGTGTTCAAGGCCAGGTTGGATGGGGCTTGGAGCAACCTGGTCTAGTGGAAAGTGTCTCTGCCCATGACAGGGGGGTGGGAACTAGATGATCTCTAAGGTCCCTTCCAACCCAAACCATTCTATGATTCTATTATTTATCTTCAGAATGGCTATTAAGGAAAAAAAAGGTGAAGAATAAAATTAATCATCATTATTTCCTGCTGTTTTAAGTCAAGGTCCATCAATCATTTCAATAAAATTGCTCAGTGTTTATCTAATTTGGAACTTTTCAGAGTCCTTATTTGCCAGAAGGAATATTTGTCTCCCCATTTTAATGGAGAAAAATGGTAGACTTGCAGAATAGAATTGACAACTTACTGAATAGCTTATGAACCTGGCCTTTCACTTAAGTAAAAAAAATATTTGCCTACTTACAGTTGAATTCGAGTTTAATTGTGTTTGAATTTAATAGAGGTTTTGAATCATTCCTTGACACTTTTATCACTGCCAAGAACATCAGCGAAGTAGAATAGTCTGTTCTGCTGCTATGCCAGTCCACTCCATTCTATCTAGCCATCTATTCTAATTGTTCTTTAATTAGCCATTAAAAAAAGCCCTACTCTGTTCAATGGTAATTAAAGATCTGAGTTCTGCATTTTCTGTGGGCAAAATTCTGTGTATTAACTGCCTGGTTTGAGGTAATCTGTCTACTGAAATTATTTGGTCCCACAGGTTTCCAAATGCATTTGAATGCAGTTAAACTTGTTTGCTGTTTCTTGTCCCTGAATCAAAGGGAGTCTGTGTTTGCTTGTCTAAAACTGATTAGTTATCTTAATGGAGACTTCTGAGCTTCAGTGTCATCCTTTTCCCTTAAACACAGATTATTGCAAAGCTATTCCTTTGGGATGGCACTCCAGACTTGTTCTTTCAGCTCTGTTTTTCAGGCAACATGGCTGGCAAGCTGGGAGTAACACTGAAAGAAGGAATGGTTTAATAACTATGATTTTATTCTCAAAGTCAGTGGGAATTACAGCTCCTCCTACAAATAGACAAACTGTCTTTCTTAGTATGAGCTCAGGTCTCTTGAGACTATCCTTGATGTTTCTATCTGGGTGGAGTCCCTCCTGCTCCCTCTGTCCTGCCTGAAAGTCCTATTTAGTTGTAATTATGGTCATTTGCTGTACAGAGCAGAACCCTATTTGGCTTTTTATTAAACAAGATGTCTATCTCTGAGTAGCTGGAAAATGAAATGCAGAAGTCTTTAACCATCTAAAAAATATATGAAACTGATTCCTTAAAAGCATGTATGATGATGCATTTTTTTAGCCATTTTGACTGTTGGGACCTCACACAGTTGCAACACATCTTTCCACTTTTAATAAGCCCTTTACAGTTTGGGGTTTCATTTGTATAAGGACCTATAAGAAGGCGGCACCTTGCTAATAACTTATGCTCTTCTATTCCAAAATGCTGTTTTGAATAAGATGGAAATAAGAACGGGCCTAGCAGTGTTTTCCTAGTATGTTACAGACAAAAGGGTCAGTGGTAAAAGGATTTGAGGCTTTTGTTTGTTAAATATTTTGAAGTGCATGCTTACATCTAAAAGTGCCTTATGAAAATTAAATGTCAGTGCATGTTCACTAACATGTAAAAATGCTTATTTGTTGGTACATTTAAACTGATAATTTGGCTTGAAAATTATTCTTAGATAAGAACAACTACAAACAGTTACTGGGAGCACTGGATTACTCATTTCTGTGTGCATACGCAGTTGGGATGTATTTAAGGTAAGCATCACTCTCTTGAACACCTGCTTTATTGCTTATTGTTCATTTATGAGGCTGTGCTACTACGGAGATATTGTCCTTTCCTACTGCAAAGTTTCTGATGGAAAGAGTGAGAATTTGGTTGCCAAGGGGAAAAAATTCATGTTATCCTGTGTTGCCAGCAGTATCATACCTGTTGGCATATAGAAAGCTTCTTACCTGCACCCATCCTGCATGCCTAGAGCAGGAATGCTTTACAACTTGCCATCTAGCCTGTCTTTCCTTCCTATGGAATATGAAGGAATATACGTCCTGAAACTTCGTCAGTTTCCAGCCTGCACACGTGGATGAAACTGATTGTCCCAGTTTTCTTTATAGCCAATGCACAGAAGCTTAACTAATCTTAAAATGTGCAATATGGGCTGCTGTTTGGATATGCTTCTTTTTACTGACTCTATCCAGAACCTTCAAAACTATAATCATTAGCAAGGGAGACAAGTCTCACTTTAAATGGCTGAAGACATGCCTCACCTTAGGGGTCATTTGGAAAATGACTCTATAAATGACTTCCAATGTGCTCCAGCTGAGCATATCCCTGAAAGATGGTTGTGCAGATGTCAGTATTAGTAAAGATTAAAGGTTTGGGGTTTTTTTTTCCTGTCAAGTGCTAAAAATTGCTCATTTGCTGCTGTGGAAAGGAGTAGCAGTTACCAGTCAAGTTTCTCCTCAACCAGAATTAAGCAACGTAAAATACTCTTGATTTGTGAAGGCCTGGGATATGATCTCATTTTTAATTACTGCCTTTCTTTTTATTTCCTTTCACATTCCAAGTGGACTAATAGGAGAACGGCTACCTATCCGGTACTATCTGACAGTTGGGATGCTGGCTAGTGGACTCTTCACTGCGATGTTTGGATTGGGTTATTTCTGTAATGTACATAATCTGTGGTTTTACATAATGGCCCAGGTAGGCAGAATATTATTTCAATACTCCTGGGTTTCCATGGTGCTGTTTAGTGTTGCATTGGTTTTCCTTCTTTCAGTTGTAAACAGGGATTAGTGGCTGGATGGAACGATATAAGTGCTGGAATACATTGTTGTTGATGACAGGCAGAAATGATAGGGTGGATAGCCCCAGGTTTTATTTTGGAAAAATGTTTTTTAGTGGAAGAAATCTTTGAAAACAAATGAAAGTGTTTCAGTCTGTGTCAAGTTAGTGATCAAATCTTTGCAAGCTTAAATATGGGCGAGCTTTAAAGCTTTAAAGTATTCATTTTTGTCAGTCTGCCAAGATCTGAGTGATGCATCCTGGGTTTCTCTGCAGGAAAATTACATTTATATTGCTAATGATGAACAGTCTCCCACATTGGTGTGGCTGAGAACAGGCAGCTTCTGTAACGAGATTTGTTGTGTGGGATTTTTCAGAGCCCTCGGAAATCTAATCAAGTGTCACAAGAATATTTACCATTGACCTAAAATGAAATGTAGATCAGGACCAGGATATGGTTAGCACTTCTGAGTCATTTTAGACAGGCCTGCACCTTGCACAGCCCCTTACTTTGTGTCGCTGCAGTAGCACTTTGACCACTGGCATGTTTGCATTGCATTGTGCAACATGGTAGTGCAGCAATACTAACTTTGATACTGCAAGCTTTAATAACCATTTCACCAAGTCATCCATTTAATCATGTCACTGCCACAGCACTGTTGGCTCATGTGGTTTCCAAGACTGGAGCTGTCTCCTCTAGAGTTAAGCTAACAATCTCTACCAGTGCTGCACCTTGTGATGTGGTCAGTAAATCCTGGAATACCACGGGTGGTCTTGTACTGCCAGCCTAATTGGTTTTTGTTGGGAAGAGTGAGGTTGCTTCATTGCATGTTCAAATGCTCATTGTGCATGTAGATTTAGATTCACTATTAGGAAACAATTCTGTACTGTGAGGGTGGTGAGGCCCTAGCACAGGTTGCCCAGAGAAGCTGTGGCTGCCCCATCCCTGGCAGTGTTCAAGGCCAGGCTGGAGGGGGCCTTGAGCAACCTGGGCTAGTGAAAGTTGTCTCTGCCCTTGGCAGGGGATTGGAACTATATGTTCTTTAAGGTGCCTTCCAACCCAAACCACTCTATGAGTCTATGAATTCCTGCACTGCAATCTGTCTTAATGTATAATTCTAGATAAAATGCTTTTTAGGAGTTGAGGTGAGTTGGGATTATGATCTGTGCAGCATAAAGGCTGAAACAGTTCTTCAGGCTGAAGATGGTAATTTTCTTTTCTTGGTTTATTTACAGGTGTCTGTTAAGCTTAAAGTTCAAAGTTATCCACTCTCCCCAAAAGTTTATTTTTTCTTGCTTTGTTTGGTTGCAGATATGCTTTGCTGTATTTTCAAACTGAGATAAATACTATGTTGCTGTTTGAACGTGGGAATTCATTTCTCTGTTCAGTTCAGTGCAGTGTGATTTTTTTGATAAGCATGTGATTGAATCAAAGTATTTTGTGTTAAATCACATGTAATTGGAGAGATGTAGGTAGAAGGAAGAGTCTCTCTGAAACTTTGTAACTTGGTTATTTTTGGAAAAGAATATTTTCAGAAACCCCCACTAAATTTCTAAATTCAAAGTATTTGTGTAGGCTTCCTTTTTCCCAATGCAGCACTCGGCAGGAATTGCTTAGGAACCTGATTTATTATAGGCTATGCTTATTTTTTATTATTTTTATATACTTTCAGATAGCTAATGGGTTGGTGCAAACTACTGGCTGGCCAAGTGTCGTTACATGTATTGGCAACTGGTTTGGAAAAGGAAGGTAAATAATGCGTAATCCAAAGTTTGGAAGTACAAATTGATACATTCTGAGCTGTAATATTATAAGCAATTTAAGTATCTTTCTTTTGCACCAGTGTTTTCTGGGGATGAAACAAGCAGTTAGGTAGATCTTTGATGCATTGGTTTGAAATACTCTTCCTCATATCAAAATAGATTTTTGTGGTAGCTCTTTAGTCTGATGTTTAGCTTTCCAGGTGAAATATTTCAGAATTAAGAATAATTCTAGCAAATATTAGCAGTCTAAAACTATTTTCAATGAAGGCTGTTATCATGCCACTGTAGTTTGGAATGTCTCATGTTTTCATTTGTGTTTCAAAGCAGTTTTGATGTGTCACTCTAAAAGTATCTTTTTGCCTAATGTCTTTTTTCTTTTTTCCCTAACCAACTTACAGAAACTTCCCCCCCCCCCCCTTTAATCCTGCATCGAGATCACTCAATATTTATTTTGTCATGTCATACAGGAGTTTTCCTTAAATTTTACAAGCGCTGCATGCTAAATTCAATGTTTGATGCATGTAGCATATAATAATACCACTGTAGTGCCGTCCGTTGTAGATACATACCATTGAATGAACAGTATTAACAATTGGTTGAAGAACCAATGTAAGGAAACTTAAGTATATGCTTTCTACATAAAATCAAAGCATAGTTAAGAAGGTGTAGGTTCAGACTGGTTTTCCACAGTCCCTGCAGACTTTGTGGTGAATGTGACAAAATGCAGAGAATGATAACCATCATACAATGTTAAACCGCATTAGCAAGCCTGTGCAAAACAATTACATTTATTCAGATTTTGCTTTGTGCACAAGCAACAGCCTTTGCTTTTAGGAGGCTGCATGGTGAACTGATGGATAGGGCTCTGGTTTGAATGTCAGTGATCCGGTTCTTGTCTTTATTTTGCTGTGTGTTTTGTGTAACATGAGCAGGCCTCTTAAATCTTGTCTCAGCCAAAGGAAAAGGCTTGGTTTAGTTAAAATTAGGTTGTTCCAGGTAGACTCCTGCTGAAGGCAAGGCAGTTTTCTTTCCTAGTAAGTCACGGGAAAAGCCTATTAACTGTCATGACTTCAGCAGTATTTTGATGGCTTATTTTAGCTCGAGCTGGAGCTATTCTATAGCAGCTTTAATCTGTGATTTCCAGGCAGACATCAGTTTGATGTGTCTGTTATCCAGGTTTATGCAGATGTTATCTTCTGGTGCCTAGCAAGTCCAGAATATGATCAGAAAATACTGCATTTGCTCTGCTTATCCTGTACAGATTGTTTTTTTTTTTTCTGCATGATAAATCTAATATATCCAGAAGAGATGAAGTTATTGGTGCAATGTGTTTGCAGGAGGACTTTCATTCCCAGAAGCAATAGTCTTATCATGCGCATGCTGCACAACATCTGCATGCTTGTTTTTATCAAAGAAACTCTGTCCAGAAATAGACAAGCCCTATCGGTGCCTTTAAATGCAGTTAAATGCAGGCTGAATTGTGTCATGCACAAAGAAGTATTTATAACACTTCTATTAATATTTAGGTGTCTTTGAAATTGCCAGATGAAAGACTGTGGCATAAAGAAGTGGTCAGTTTAAGAACAGCAAGATTGCAAATATTTCACTGACACCCCAGATGAACAATTATTTTTGATACACTTTTCTCAAAATAGTAATGATTATTATTGGAATAATAACATTTTTATGTGGATTTCTTTTTTTTTTTTAATTCAGGAGAGGCTTAATCATGGGAATCTGGAATTCACACACTTCAGTGGGAAATATCTTGGGATCCTTAATTGCTGCTTATTGGGTGTCTACGTGTTGGGGTCTCTCCTTCATAGTGCCTGGTGTTATCATTGCTGTGATGGGAATTGTTTGTTTCCTGTTTCTTATTGAACGTAAGTGCTTTAATGGAATAGAACCATGGAGGGCTCTTTATGGGTGAAGAACACCATCTGTTTAATCTAAATGACCCAGTGCAAAGTATATTCCTCAAGCTTTGACGGTACTTAAAGAACTTCTATCTAGAATACTAGATGGAGAAGAACCTGTAGTGTTCAGACTCTGGTATACCTGAGAGAATAAGACTTCAGAATTCAGTCATTAATTCCCTGTATGAATTGTTCAAGTGTATCTTAGCAGAATGTCCCACCTGTCTGCAGTATATTCTGTGCTCCATTCAACCTATGACATGCATATTGTGTGCTATGAAATACAGAAGTCAGCTGATAGAGGAGGTTTTCTCACTTTAAAGTAGAAAATAAAAGGGAGTGCCCCATCTCGGCCGTGTATAGACTCTTATGATTGCTTATTTTACTGTAACTGGCCTAACTAGGGAAGTAAAAAAATTATGCAGATATAAGTAGAATGCTGTAATGAGCTGGACTGCCAGAATAGTACTTAATGTGATCATAGCATGGGAAAAGTACCACAGCACCCTTTGAATTTTCTCTAAAGTTACAGTTACACATTTCTACCAGGACTATTTCTGTGTTATCTGAACTGTTTGTTCATTATCAGTAAATCACACTAGTGGTCGGTGTTTTAAGAGGTATTCATTATGCTTGTTTTCATTATTAACTATGTGTGGTATTGTATTTCAGATCCTAAAGATGTAAGTTGCTCCTGCACACTATCCAGTGTAAGTGAATGCTTTTTCTATTTTGATTTTTGCTTCCTAATACACATATTCATTATGATAGTTCTGGCAATTAGATAATTTGTGTGGCCCTTTTGTGCTAGGCTGTTATAACTGACCCTATACTTCAGGGAATATTGGTCTTCTATGCTTCGCTGGTAAGACAGTAGCTTACTTTCTACCAAAGCAATGTGAATCAGGAGGCTAATGAGTTTGTTTTAACTAAGGTTCTGGAACAGATGATCTTACTTCATTAAAACACTTTAAAACTGTTCATCATTCTTGAGTTTTTTTACTCTCCCTCAGTCTTCCTGGCTATCTTCAGAGCATTTTTACCTATCTCCTGCTGTTGCTTTCCTTGCTTAACTGTAGCATGCTATGATAGCTGCCAGCCATATTCTGTGAAGGGTCTCTCGCTGTTTGAGAACCCTGCATTAGGCATTGCAGAAAGAGCAAACAGCCCTTTTGCTGAGATAGTATCAATGAACCATGCATTGATGGGCTGGGGAATGGGAAGTGGTATTTACAGGGAAGTACAGTAGGAGCACATGGCTAGGGAGAAGAGGAAGCAAGGGGTGGTTATGAAGGGACTGGAGCAGTCAGACTGTGGCAGTGAGTTTAGTCATGATTAGCCTTTAGTTAACCAAAACTGACATTAATGAAGAGCCTTGAAAAGGAGAGAAATAATTGGTGCTTAGTGGTATGTGTCACATAACCAATCAATGCTTTAGTTTTTGTGGCATCACAGAATAACTTAGATTGGAAGGGACAGAACCCCTGGACATTGTATTGTACTCATAGTAAGTCTAAATTTGACATAGGATCAAATTGCTTAAGGCTTTCCTGGCAAATTCCAAATCCTCAAGGATGAAGCAGCTGTTTATACATAGATTATTTTTTTTTTTTTTAATATACAGTGAGTTTTAGAATGCATTGATCACATCTTACTGGCCTCAAGGCAGCAGATTTTGCTATTGCATGAGATCTTACACTTCAAGAGCTTAAATTTTGGCAAGGTAGTGAACTTCACTAAGCTCTAAGTATACTGTCACACACACAAACTGTGGAATGCATACTGCATGGATTACAAGGGAGAATGCAGGTCTTGACACAAGAGTTTAAAAATCCAGCATCAGAGGTTGGCTGCTTAAGGCATTTTTTGAAGCGGGATTGAAGTGTGTGCTTGGGTGTGTGAAAACATCTAAGCTTTTCCTGGGTTGTGGAGCACTGCATGTATATTTTGTTGTGCCAGAGCAAAACTCATAACTTTTTTAGTTTTTTTGAAAAGGAAATCTTTAAGTATTAGTGTAAGGTTGTTCAAACAGTATTTTAAAAGTAGGTTGGGAGTGATTCAGCTCTGGTACCAAGGTATTTGCCCAATGCTTTTGAAATGGAAGTTCATGAGACATTTCAGGTACTCCAAGTAATGTAGGAAGCTGTGTCAATGGTGAAAGATGTGCCTTAGACAGTTTTAGATACTGCATGAGATGATTCCTTTCTTGCCTTGTGTAACTGTGCCCCAAGAAGAGGGGGGCAACTCAAAATAAGAAAAAAAAAAAAAAAAACCCAAAATCAAGGAAAGGGAACAAAAAAGAGAGCATTAGGAAGAAGACCAGCGGCGTATAACTTCCTGTAAGAGTAATTTGTAGCCTAGTTTCATGTAAGAGTTTGCAGGTTCATCTCTGTTTCATATTCCATAATACTCTGGTATATGTTTGTCTCTATTGTAACCAAAACCTAGAGCAGTGTGTTGCTCCAGGCTCTTTCTCCTCTGACTCCCATGGGACTGTGGGCAGTCAAGTCTGCCACAGATAGTAAGGGGAGCTTAGCAAAGAAGGTCTTCAGGTTTCCTGTGTGTGAGGGCAAATCAGGGCTATTGAGGAAAGTACTGGACGAAAGATCCGAAGGGAATCCCACATGTTTTCCAGTGGTATGGGATTATGTGTGGAGATTGTCTGCACATATAGGTTTATGTGAACTAAACCTTTTAGTTGCAAGAATTACAGGTAGATTGTACAGGGTTGGTTGCTGTGTTTTTTAGCACCTCCCCAGTAGTTTCAGATAGATGGCTTTTTACATTTTAACTGCCCTCTTCTTGAATAGTAACTGAAGGCAATTTTTCTAGTCTGTGTTCTCTCTTCTTTGCCAGTTAATGTTTTGGTGTTTTTTTCCTCATATAAAATAATTCTGATAAAGCTTCTGAATACTACTATTGGTCTGTGGCACTCTTATTCTTAGTTTGTTACTGTGAGATAAGGTGTACTTACAATGTGCTCTCTATTTTTCATTTAATTCTCTTTCATTTCATAAAGGTAGTGTCTGTCAACTATCGTAACAGAGGAGGCATTTTTTCCCTCGGCTTTTATGTAGCTCAGAAATGTTCCTATGAACATTTCAGTTACTGTTTGTAATAGCTAGAGCATAATGTTTACAGAATTAGCTGTTAAGCTTTATGGAAGTAAATGTTTGTTATTTGCTTCAAATACATTTTTACTGGAAAGCATAGCTAAAGAGTTTTTCACCATATGGTGCTCATATGATTCAAAGAGCTGTTACGGAAAATACTTGTCATTAAATATCTAGTTGCTGTGATACTTTAAACAAAAATGCAGTATTTTAGAAGCTTTCCCTCCCTTCCATTCACCACCCTTTTGACCTAACCTTCTCTAGGGCACCCAGCAAGATCACTGCTTCAGGCACAGTCTCCGTCTGTAGGGATGCATTTGGCCTTCTGTTTCCCTGGAAACCTTGCTCTCCAGAGCAAAAGGCATCACTTCATCCTGTTCCATATATTCACATTGTAAATCTCACAAGAGGTTTATAAAAGCGCTTCCCCACCTGCCTTGAACCCCTTCTCAGTTTAAGATTCGCCATTGTTTTGGGAAGCTGTGTGCCATTTGAATCGCTCAAATACCTCTCTTCAGACTTCGTGGTCTGTAAAGTAGAATGGATTCTAAATCCTTAGTGAATGGGGCCCACAGTTTCAGTTCATTGCAGGGAAAGTGGTTTTAGAAGTTAAAGAAATTAATAAGGTAAGAAAGAAGTTCAAGATGATCTCCTACAAATACAGATGTGGTGATGACAAGGTCTGACTGTAAAGAAAACTGATTGCTAAGTGAGGGAAGGTTTGTGTAGTAAAACAGTCTGTGTTGTTACTGGGAGCAAAAAAATTTAGCCATGTAGTACTAGAGGTAGAATTTGCTAGTAGGCATAAAATTGTAGCTGTCCCTATTTGCTCAGTCATTGCAGTGACAACCTGAGCAACCTGTGTGCCTTTGCAAATAGTAAGAAATGTTAGAATGTTTTTAAAGACCTTTAAAGAACCATACAGGCTTGCTTTGCTCATAAGGCCTAGTAGGTTATTTTGGACAGATGGTTAGGTGCAGGCAGCTCTGCCAGCTGGTGCCAAAAGTCAAACCTCATTGTGGAAGAATGAGACCAGTTAAATTTAAGTACAACTAAAATAAATGCTTAGTATAAGGGAAGGGCTTAGGGTAGATTTATATTAAGATTTATAGATCAGATTCATCTCTGTATGATATCACTATCTTGAATGAATTTAGTCTACTGTTTATTTGCAGCATGATCGTGAGCCAAATATTTCTACAGAGTTTGTAGTGGTGAATAATCTGATTTCATTGAGTTGTACAGAAGCACAGACAGAGAAGCAGGCACAGAGCCTTTAATGTGCGGTCGTATTCTTTATTCACTGATTTCTTGGGCTGTGCTTCATTTGCTTGTATTCACCTTGGCTCTGATTCATGAATCTGAAACTTGTTCAAACCAAATATTTGAGTACAATAAAGTGCTTTTACATGCTAGCATTGGAGGCATAATCTATGACCTTCATCTATGACTTTCTGAAAGGCTATACCTATGACAAATGCAAGCAAGAAATCGGTGTGCTTTATTAAGCATGGCTGATTGCTGCACTTTCATAATGAAAATTAAAGAGTAGATTTAATGGCAGGTGTGAAATGTAATGATTTAGATCTGTTTTTACTGCTTGCCATCTTTTCTCCCTGTACCTCCTTTTTCTTTTTTCTTTTTTTTTTCCCCTAAGTAAATGTGTTAGTTGCAGCATGTTCATACAGACCTTTGTGTTCCAGGAACTTCTTTAGCCTGACTTTGCATTTCCAGGAAACTTAGCTCTTTAAACTCCTGTAACAAAGTGCATTTAAAAGATACCAGGCTGCAATCCTTATCTTTTGAAGTCTTAAGTATTAAACGTGCAGCCTCTCAGTCTATTTTTTTTCCCCAGACATTTCCTCCTTACCACAGTAAATCTTATTTTTGAAGTCAAATGAAATAAAAGTCTTTCACTTCTTTTATTCAGCTGAACTGCTGAATAAAGATGTAGATGACTTGTCTCTAGAGACTGGATTTTCTTCCCCACAGATTACTATGAATCACTTTTTGACAAGAGCCTAATTTCATGTAAGATAAAATTTAAAAATCTGTTTTATCAGATCCTGGGCCTTTGAGTGTTGTTTGTTTACTTTGGGGAATGCATGCCCAAAATGCTGATGCATCCGCTCTCGCTTTCATTTATCCTCCGAAGTTTTTTGCCTTGTTAGAAGGACTTCATTGATGAATGGCAGTTTGTCGAAAGAATTCCCCAATACATACCCCTGTGTTTTTGTTGAGGAAGAATTATCTAGTGATTAATTTTGAATTAAAATGTTCCATGAGGATGGGCATTCTTTTTTTATTTGTGGTAGTGTTTCTGGGGGATTATTTGGGTCAGAGTTTGGGTTTTTTTTTGTTTTGTTGGGTTTGTTTGTTTGTCTGTTTTAATGTGGCACCTAGAGTGTGATTAGACATGCAAATATCTCATCCCTGAGGAAGGCACAATACTTCTTGAGGTCGTAGCAATAGGTTGTATGTACCTGACTGCAAACCTACTTTGAAGTTGTATATTTAATTTTGCAGACAAACCTTAATGTCCCTGAAAAATATTTTAGACCAAGGATCTCAGGATGATGTTTTCCAATGAATACCTTTTTGGTGTGAATTGATACAGTAGTGCACTTGTAAATAAGTAAGTATAAGAAGCAGGTTCATCTAGGGCTTCGGTTTCTCTACTGAGCATGCTAGAGGTGCTCAGACTCTTCAACAAGAACACAGTCTATTTCTGGGTTAGAAGAATACCATAAGCATAAGCTAAAGGATAAGCTTTAATCTCAGAGGGGCAGGGAAATGAAGAATCAGGGGTTTCCTGAAATAAATCAACTTCTGTAGTTGGTACTAGGATCATCTGCTTATGAGAGGAAAAACTGTTTGCCATGTCAATGAAAGTTCAGTAGAGGACAAAGCAGCTGAAGAAGTTAGGAATGGCATGATTATTAAGTATGGCATAATTGTGTTCTGAATTGAGTATGCTGCTTCTATATAAAAGCAGTATGAAGTTAGCCTTCAAGTAAATTTATGATTGTATTTTATATACATTGCTATAGGTCTGCATAAGGACTTTAAAAACCCAAATGTGTAGTCATTAGATTAAAGATGTTCCATTTTGGGTTATGCTTATGTTGCAATGCACAAAGACTTTTGTTGCAGAGAACTGATTAACCCGAATGTAATCCTTTTAAAAACAAGCAACAAAAGTATGGGGGTTTGGTTTGATTTATTTTTTTTTCCCCCCCCCAGAGTTCTAAAGCCTTCCTGAATGGTGCATCTCGATTCAGAGTCCCGATGCCAAACTTGAATACTAAGGAAACCAGTAAACCTCAGGTAAAATATAGCAAACATATTGTTCTAAAATAGTATAGAAGACTTGCTAATGCTCACATGGACTATTTACAGTAGATTTACTGCTGGCAGAGATTTCTCTTCCTTTTATAATGCTGAAATCTACTTCCATCTTCATACACAAACTTAACTTTAGACAAGGGAACTAAGCATTATCTAGTATAGATACTGCAAACCAAGCTGAATAAGGTAGTGTGCTCAGTTGGTCTCATCTTGTGACCCTCATATTCCACAAAAGAAGTGTACTGCAGTTTTTAAAGATAGCCCATTTGAAATCTTTAAACTACTTACATCATGTTTGTCTTGTCCTTGCAGTCTCACATTTGTCCCTTTTTAGTGTAATCTATTTATGTACTTATAAGATTATACATGGAGACAGAGAGTCTTAAATATGAGCACTTATTCACAGAAATTTTGCTTAAAACTTGTAACTGAAAGTGCCATTAATTCTCACTAGAAACAGAATTCTGAATTTGCACATTTATGAGCAAAAAGACATTTTATCTTGAGATGGACGTTGACTGAAAATTTCCACTTGAAATTTCGTTTTTGTATTCAGTACACTTGGCACACCATATCCTGAGAGGATAATTTTTTTTAGCTGTTTTCAGACTTTTACAGGAAAATAGAAACTTCCTGTTATTTTTATCCTTTGCCTGTAGAATTAATAATGAGTGTTCACAGGGTGTATTAATCAGTCTTGATGAAAAGGCTTTGAAATTTTAGGTAAGGATGTATTTCACAGTCCAGCTTAAGCCCCCTCTGTATTGACTCTATTCATGTTCATTTTGAGCTGCCCAAGAGCAGTCTCCATTCTAGAAACCATTTGGCAATATTATTTCACAACCAACTGGAAGGGGAGAAGATGTAAGACTGTAAGTAGGTGTCTTTAGACAAGTCATGAAGATAGAACTAAAATACAGTTAGCAGATCAGTAGACAAAGATTTCTTTTCTAACTCTACTAGTACCTCTACTATAAGAGAACTGTGCAAAGAGAAAACATACCCCACACACACTGACTGATTCTCCCTTGTGAGCAGGACAGAGACAACAACGGACAGCAAAGCGTCAGGGCACTTGCTGGCAGTCCTGTCAATATTCCCCCCTGCTTCATCCTGCCAGCTGAGTTATATGTTTGTAATACAGTCTTAACAAGGTTCAAAGATAAATTAATAAAAAACATCAGGAATCTTTGTCCCTGTTTGGGATCCCCTGATTTTCTGCCAGTGACAGAAGATAATCTTTTTCCTCTCAAAGTGAAGTTGAACATCTTTCCTTTTTACAGTGGTTGTCTTACCATTATGCTGAGCTGATTATCACAGTCAGCTTTTGTAGCTGTACAAACAGCAGATGTTTTGCATTTATGAGCTGGTCTCCAAGCACACTGGAATGGCAGCTTTTACTGATTTTTCATTGACCTCTTCAATTACTGTAAAAAGAAAGCAAATATTCAGGATGTGCAGTGACTGAAAGCAGAACGTGGTTTTGGCTGCGTGACCTGCATACCTCTGTGTGTTCATTACTGCTTATGTCAGGTTGGCCTCTTAAAAATTATTCAAAATTGAGGGATAATGAATCCTTCCCCAGAGATCAAGAGTGTGCCATATGCCTAATCACACTCTATGACAAGCTGGCAAGGCTGAATAATGTTGTCTCAGCCAAGCACAAATGCTGGTTTTATTTATCATTTAGCTACGTGCAGCATAAAAATCCCATATTGTCAATAAAACTTTACAGCATGAGTTGCTAAATAAATTATTTGGACTTTGGTCACTTCTGCTTCAATATTTAATCCACTCTTCCTGAGTAGGCTTAGAGCTGCCCCTCTGAGAAATGAGGAGCATTACGTCAGACAATCCTGATTAAGTTTGCTGTGCAAATTGTGCAAGAGATACTCACTTAAGACACTATCTGAAAGTGTCTTCTATTGAATCCAGTGGGAAGTTTCTCTGCTTAAGGCTTTGCATTTTTTGCTCCCCTTTTCCCCCTTTCCCTCAGTCTTAATACCTGATGAATTGAATTGCTACTGTTAAAATAGCTGAGGTTTTGAAGTTGCTCCAGTAATACAGAAGATAAATTCTTTGGATGATGATGGAGTGACTCATGTGCCATAACATAAGTTTACAGTGCCATGTCAGAGGTCCCTAGATGTTTTTCCTCTCTTCAAGGTAATGCTTCATCAGGCTACAGGGTCTTCTGTAAATCCTGCATTATATCGACCAGTCCTACACAAAAATTTTCAGTGCTACATGGTAGCTTCTAAAATTATGCCAAGTGTCTGGTTCGGGTGCCCAGATGGTTGCCTGGTCTTCTAGGAAACTTCTAGTTCCCTTGTCTTCTCCTAAATAAACTTATTTAAAACCAGAATTTATTTAGAATCACTGAGTGTAAAATAGTAAAATTGAATTTGTTCAGCACTTGATTATTTTTTTTTCTTTCTTCCTCTATCAATTTACCAAATATTAATTAGAAAGTTTTAATCTGCTGGAAATGGAGTGGAAAATGGAAGTGGAATGGGCCAGTATTTCATTCTTCGTAACCTACAACCAAATACATACTTGAGGCTTAATTCTTTACTAAGGCTTTTCCTTCAAATGCACAAGAATTAGGAGAAAGATGACAGTATGTAGAAAACACCTAGCTGTGTACGTTTACTAGCTATGGAAAAGCTGCTCAGCAAGCAGTTGGAAATGAGTATAGATATATCCCATCTTTTTTCTGAGTTGGATAAGAAGTACTGAGGACTATTTATACCTGAAATTCCTTCTTGTGTCTACAGCTGTAAGATGGAAATTTCCAATTCTATGCCAAGAGTTCACTTCAGTGTGATGGGTGAATAAAAATAACAAGATATCCTTGTGGCTAGACCGGAATGGCTTGTTCTTGTTGAGTGATGACTTGCTCCACAAGTATTCTTAGCAGCCAGTGGAATTATTAGAGTAAAATCCTTCCTAGTACTAGAAAAGAACTCAGAATTCACAGTTTAGGTAATAATAGTAAACTCCATGCTTCTATAATTTGTGGATTGTAATGTTCAAATGAAACAGACGTAAAATAAGTGCATAAAGCACTCAGTATCCATAACTCAATTGGAAAGATGACCTATATTTAAATCAGTGAATAAGATGATGTTACAGAGTCTGAAAAATGGGCTTAATATTTGTAACAGAAAGAAGATAATGTATGCTTTTGTATGGAAATGTGTTGTAGTATTCAGTAGCTTGTCAGTCTTAATTAAACCAAATTAATGTAGTGGCATAAAGGAAAGCTGGAAATTGTTTTATTCTATTGTAATCTAATTGTACTCTAATATGTGGTTTTTGCAATTTGAAATTGTTTCAGAATAGAACAGAATTTTTATCTCACAGTGGAGTGTGTGCACTCAGACATAAACAGCCAGGCTTCTTTCACCCGGTAGTCTGTATATACTTTCTACTCTCTATAAACTCCAAATAAAAAGATTTTTTAAAGCTGTTACTTTCTGTGATTAAAAAAATGGAATTATTTGATTCCCTGATACATGTTTTGATGCATTATTCCTTTCTGTTTCATATGTTGTTTCTGGGGCAAATTGCAGGATCCAGAGATGCAGCATTTACTTACCGACAATGAAAACAGTAGTACATCACTGAACCCCAGCACTGTGGTCACTGGGGAAGGCAGACACAGGACAGCAGCTATCAGCTTCTTTGGGGCCTTGCGAATACCTGTGAGTACATTTACTTGTACATCTTGACTGTTCCTCTAAGAAGTTTATTCCTCAGAATTCATATTTCCATGAAGCTCTAAATGAAGTGCCAGATGGGTTTAACTTTGCATCACAAGCTTTGATTGTCACCTCTGGTGCATATGTTACGGCAGGGCCCTTCTGTCATGTTTTAACAATGCTCGGGTGCATCAAGCACAGCAGAATGAGCTGGTCAGGAGGTGCTTATCCTGCTGTATTCAGCATTGGTGCTGCCTCACCTAGAACACTGCGCTGGCTGGGCTTCACAATTTAAGGAAGGTCCTTGAATGCATCCAGAGGAGGGCAACAAAGCTGGTGGAAATACTGGAAGGAATGTCCTGTGAGGAGCAGTTGTAATTTTAAAATCTTTTGTATGCTTTATTTTGAGAAGTTTCAGACAGCCCAAACATTTGGACTACTGTTTTCCTGAAGTTTCTTTTAAGTCAGGGACTATTATCCTTTATTGTCCTCTGGTCTTGAAGCTTAGCAGCCTCAGTGGGATGCACAAGTAGAATTATGTGCACATTGATTCGGACCAGGTATAAAGGTAGGGGAAGAAATCTCCAGCACTCAACCCCTGTATTCCTGTATCTTCTTATCAGGACCAGATTGGTCCTCAAGTAATGGGTAGAAAAATTGCTGCTGCTGCTACCTGGAATCTCTCTAACTGTGATTTTTTTCTTCTGCCTCTTGTTTGGAAGGGTTATGGCTGTATGTAAAGGATAGCCAGCCGTGTATGTGTGCTGTCCATGCAGATAATTGTGGTGTCCAAACCAGAGACTTAATAAATCCTGTTTCAAGCAAAAATGTATCAAATGGTGAGGGGAATAAAGATAGGTTATTTTGGCAGTTTAGCTGTAGCTCTGTGCAGTAAGTGTACTTTCAGTTTTCCCAGCAGAAAAGAGTGGAACAAATTAGTATTTTAAATAGGCATATGCACTGTTTGTAGTGTGCTCCTGCCACATACTGATTTGAACTGTGATGTACTGGTTGACTGTCTTTTTGCAAAGAGTTAATAAGGGAGGAATCTTAGACTCATCTGAAGGATGGATCTAAAGAATCCAGCTTCTCTTGAATACACTCCAAACCTGCTGTAACACTATATAAAAACTCTGTACATGAGGAAAATAAGTGATGCAGGTGTCCCAAACAGCATCAAATCCTTCCTCTTCGTTTTAGTGTTCCCCCTTCAGTCAATTCAGTACAATTAAGAGAAGTAAAGTAAAATACCGCAATCTGCTCTGATTGTAAGCTTTGCTCTCTCGGGGGAAGAATGCTTCTTGGAAATTCTTGAGAGAAAATAAAAAGCCTAAGTGTTTCTTAGAAACCATTTTTATAATGGTCTTTGAAAGCAAATAGCAGCCTCTGTCACAGTGCTAACTTCCTACTTTCTTTATTCTCTCAGGGAGTCATAGAGTTCTCCCTCTGTCTTCTGTTTGCAAAGCTGGTGAGCTATACTTTCCTCTTCTGGCTTCCTCTCTATATCACCAATGTAGGTAAGTATTACAGTAAAGGCATAAAGAATTATGACTACAAAGTATCTCGAAATACGAGCTTGAAATAAATAAAATGGGAGATGAGCAATCCTGAGGAGGAGAAGGACTTGGGGCACTGGTGGATGAAAAGCTGGATGTGAGCTAGCGGTATGCATTTGCAGCCCAGAAAGCTAACTGTATGTTGGGCTGCATCAAAAGAAGCATGACCAGCAGGCTGGGGGAAGTGGTTTTCCCCCTCTACTGTGCTCTGTGGCATAGAGGGCCACTCTATGACTTCTGTGAAGAAAGGCTGAGAGTTGAGGTTGTTCAGCCTGGAGAGAAGTCTTTGGGGAGACCTTATCATGGCCTTTCACTACTTAAAGAGGGCTTATAAGAAAGATGGGGACAAACTTTTTAGTAGGGTTGCAATGGGACAGGGATAATGGTTTAAACTACAAGAGGGTAGGTTTAGATTAGATATAAGGAAGAAATTGTTTGCAATGAGAGTGGTGAAACACTGGCACAGATTGCCCAGAGAGGTGGTAGATGCCCCATACATGGTAACATTCAATGTCAGTTTGGGCAGGGCTCTGAGCAACCTAATCCAGTTAAAGATGTCCCATTTCATTTCAGGTATGTTGGACTAGATGACCTTTGAAGGTCCTTTGCAACCCAAATCATTCTATGGTTGTATGTTTGTTAAAGTGGTAAAATGTCTCTTGCTGTTACTGTGGTTGCATTCAAAAGCACGTATCCCTGAATACGCGCTTACGGTACATTCTTATTTTTCTTACACAGTGACACCTTATGGTAGCTTATTCCTGTTTATAAAGAGTACTGCTGTAAAATGCATTTACCATAACATGAGAAGACTGTAGTGAGGTTTCTGTGTTTTATAGTCTGGAAATGAGATAACTGTTTTGCTTATCTCACCAGAGCATCTTGATGCCAAAAGAGCTGGGGACCTTTCTACACTGTTTGATGTGGGTGGAATCTTTGGTAAGTTTTATATTTCATCCTTAATCACACCAGTTTAGAAAAAGCTATGGTACTATTATTAGTCCTTGTGCCATATGTCTACTTAAGAAGAGTGGCAGTAAAGGTACTAAGCTGAGAGTTGAGTCGGACATTGAAAACCTAGCAAAACATCTTCAGACTGAGCAAGTGACAGAGCCAAGAGCCAAATATGGAATCTTTTAGCTCCCTCAGCTCTGGCCCATGAGTCCTGGTCACTCCACATATCCAAATATCATTTTATTTTCTTTTATCACTCTAGTACAGCAAAATTATCCCAGCTGGAATAGTTGTGTATTTTTTGTGGGCACAGAAGTGAATGGCCACAAGTGTTTTGTTTGTTTGTTTGGGTTTGGGTTTTTTTGATGCCTTATAAAACTGTGTGTGATAGAATTAGAAGATTGTAGTAGTAACAGTAAGGATGACCATTTCTTTGCAATTTGTGAAGTGACCAGTGCATAATTAAATTTATGCTAGTGCAGACAGCATAGCTCACAATGAAGCAAGCATTATCATCTTGATGCCCAGCTGATTTATGATACACACGCACACCCCCATTGCCTCTCCATCTCTCCCACTTTCCTTATGGAAATAAGCCCTGTTTCAGTCCATTGGAAAATGATGTTCGTGACACTCATAGGTTTGACTGGATCATGACCTATGAGGCCCTGATAGTTCAAGATGCAGGTGTCAAGGTATATTGCAGTAACTGTTCCAGTCTTGTGCTGGATGTGACTTCTGCCATTTCTTACTGCTTATTTCATCCTAGACAGCTAGAAGCCAGAGTCAGTAGAACCTCAGAGACTTGAGTGACTTCTTTCAGCAGCATCTTATCTCCCTGTGAATACAAGCTTAACAATGTGCTGCTTGGATCTTTGGCACTTACGTTTAAATTCAAGTGGGATATGAGCACTTTGGAGACGGGCAGCTGGGAAGGAAGGGGCAGGCCCTGCAATATTTGTGGATCTGGAGAATCTAGAGAACTTCCTTTCCTTCTCCCTGTATCAGATTCTCTTTACATCATTTTGGCAGCTCCTTCCCTCTGGCCTTCAGCCCCCTCCTGCCACATGCTCTGATTAGTACTTCTGTGTACAGCTGCTGGCAAACGCAAGAAGTAGGGAAAATTTAAGAGCCTGGAGTGAGCACCTGGAGAGAAAACAAAGTATTTAATTTGCCACAAGATCTGGAATAGCTCATTTCTCCTGGTTCCACTGCGATGCGAACAGAGCACTTGAAAGCCAAGTTTACTCTTGCATGTTAGGAGTTAAGAGACCAGCAAGTCAGCTGGGCACAGTTGGATTCCAGAATGCCAGCAGTGGGATCACTTAGCAGCTGGCAAAACGGTTTTTTGCATTCAAAACCAGTAGAACAATTATTTATACGTATAATTCTATGAACTTCCATCTCTATTCCGCCCCCAAAACCTGTCATCTTGGATATTTGTTTGGAATAAATAGTGAGGAAGAACAACTGTCTGCTTCTGTTATCTTCCAAGTCAAAACCAGCTGGGTTAATAAGGGTATTGCTAAGTGTGAATTATGTTGTCAGTCTAATGCTCTGTGCTGCTGTGCATTAAAAGTCATATTGTGTTTTAATCTCAGTTGAGTTTCATTAAGTGTAATTGACGTCTTTTGTGTAAAGCATGCACAGAGTGTTTTCCTCACACACTTGTGTCTTTTTCAGGTGGAATTTTGGCAGGCCTGATTTCAGACAGGCTGGAGAAGAGGGCATCAACCTGTGGAATGATGTTATTGCTTGCAGCACCCACAGTAAGAATTTGCTCATCTCTTACAACTGTGGCTGAGACTTTGACAGCAGTCCTTGGGAAGTTCTACAGACAGCATCTTCTAATTTGGATAAAGAGAGTTCAGGCCAGGTTAAAAGCCAGCATGAAAGTTGGGCATGTGAACAATTATAGACATCGGGGCTGCCTTCACTAAGCAAGCAGAAAAGTCTCATGTTGTTCATTGGAAAATTTCACTCATGTAAAATTTGATGTTCAATTCTTAGCCAGAATTTTACCTGCTTAAAGGCAAAAATTTCTGTGCTGTAGCTGTTGGAAAACTGGCATTTTTCTCTGATTCCTTTGTGATCAGTATTCTGTGTTGTGTTGCAGCTGGCAATTTGAGAGTTTAAAATTGAGTAATCTCATAAAACAGCCCTTTCTTCTGAAAGCACATACTGGGGAATAGGAGCAAACCCCTTGTCTCCCTCCTGTGTCCAATCAAACAGTCCTGCTGCGTATTTAGTAAAACCTAGAAATAGCTTTCACATAATAGCAGCTAAGATATTTTGTAGTTAACATGGGGAAATGGGAAAACATGGGGGAAATGGGGAATTTGGGATTACTCTGTATGTTGGTATTCAGCATGCTTGCTTTTTCATCTTACAGTTGTACATGTTCTCTGCAGTCAGTAAAATGGGCCTTGAGGCTACCATAGGTGAGTATGTTAAACTTATTTTCTGCCTGGCTTTCTGTGAAATTTGCATTTATGATCCTTTGGTCTTTTTTTACTTATTTATTTATTTTAATTTTGTCTTTTCCCTTAGAGGAGGGAATTTGGAATCAAATTCCCTAGACTTTGTCTTGCAGGCTTTTTAACAGGGTAAAGAAGGGCACGCTAGGAAATGGGTAAAGGGTGGCACGGGAGCAGTGATTTAGTTAATATTATTAGCCTTCTTTCTGGAGCTGCTTGTGTCAGCACAGGCTTTATTATATTCCCTATGGCAAATGTCAGAGGTGTTTAAAGACTACTTGAAGTACTTTTGATGGCAATGTTAACTTTAATTGTATAGGCTGAATTCACTTGTGGCTATCTGTTACCTCAAAACAGAAGTAACACAAGTGCTTACAGTAGTGTGTCACTACCAAAAGGCCTTGTGAAGTTTTAGGGCCCCCTGGTGCTTGGTACTGTTACAAGCAGAGAACAGATTTACAGGTGAATCCTGTGATGATCCCCTGCTCTTAGGGTCAGTTTGGTCAGATTTTTCCCCTTTCTCTGACCTACTGGGATCAATAAGGTTCCTGGGAAGTGCCTTTTAACTCATCCCTATCTCACTGTATTTGAGAATTCACATCATGGAGTGAGCATTGAAGAGAGGTAGGAATGTATGTTGCTTTTCCTCCTTTCCCAATTCTGTTACGGGATCAGGGGAGTCAAGGAAGGATTAAAGCATTTGAGAACTATAGACTATGATGTCTGCTGTGTTATGGTTAACAGTCTTCCAGGCAACTTATGTTTTCCATTTTTGTCAACTTGCGACAGTGATGCTGCTCATTAGTGGTGCCCTGGTGAATGGCCCTTATGCTCTGATCACCACTGCTGTTTCTGCTGATTTGGTGAGTTTGGCTTCCCCTCTGCTTCCAGTATAGCAGCTCTGGCCTCTGTAGAGAGCCCTTTGACTTCTGCAGGGTCATCAGTGAACGGGCTGCGTTGTCCCAAAGCAGAGGGGCAGGATAGGCAGTGCTGAACTCAGCCACTGAAATTGTTCTGGAGTTCGTGTGTTGGTGTGAATGAATTGTCATGCTTGTGAGAGGCTTCTAAATTATTTTTGCTTACTAATAAGGCAGACCAAATCTTGTAGATGGCAGCCCAAAGTCAATGTGAAGGCGACATGCAAAGCCAGGTCTCTGTACAAATACCTTCTCCCCTTTCATAATTTACGTCATTAAAAGAGGGGAGGAGCTGTATCTATGTGAGAGTTAAGCTGGCGACTTAATTCCTATCAGTGCAAAAAGCTGTATGTGACACATACCTTTACTTTTGTCCATGCTGCATTCTTCCCTTTAGCATACAGTTACTCTAGATACCAGCATTTCCAGCTGGATCCAGTCAGTAAGTCGCAAATGCCATGTGAAAACATTGACCCTGGTACCTTTCATTAGGTACACTTTGGAAGTTTGGTCTCAAAAGGTTTTGGCCCCTTAAGACACCAAGCAAAAGGGAAAAATCCTGTAACAACAAATGCTCTATAGGAGAAGGAGCAGGACAGAAATCTCCAAACTTCCTCTGGAGCCCTGTCCTTTTCATGGGGAGCTTGGCAAGACAAAGGGAGACACCATGCATTTCCCATTTTATCCTTAACCTTGTTGGAAGGGCCACTAGCTAGAAAGTGCAGCCTGACATGGCAAGATCCCTATATGACCCTTGGGAAGAGGGTTGAAACTGCCAACTGAAATTCCTCAGATGTCAACAATCAAACATCTGACACAAGCAAATGTAAGTCACTGATTACCTGCCTGGATTCTCCTCAGTGTAGTGGAGATAAAGGACTATTTCTTATTAGCAATTCTCCAAAGTATTCAGTTTCTCTGTCTTTCTACTAAGTTACTCCCTTTATCAGTTGTTTTGCTCTGAAGATCTGGCTTCTAAAATTGGAACTAAAAGCCCTCTTTTGACTCAAGAAGTCTCTGAATTAGCATTTCAGTATATATCCATAATTCTGGTGTTCCTGCCACAGCAGTGGGGTTTTTCTTCTGTTTGTTTGGGTTGAGGAGTGTTTTGTTTTCTTTTGTTCCATGGGCCTTAGTGGGGAAGAGATGGCCCTGGAAACAGCCTTGAGGCATAATGCAAAGCTGAAGTGCTGTCCTTTTTTGAATCCAGTGTGCAGAACAGAAAGCTGCTTGGCTCCTGTAGTTTAAGTAACATGATTTAATAATGAAGAATACTGTAGACAGTAGGTAGTCGGGGTAGGAGACTTGTTCAAATAGAGGGTCTGATCTGGGATGTTTAAGGCATCTTCACAATGTACATCTAATGTGGATGGGTGTGAGTTAGATAATGTTGAAACGACTTCAGAGTTCAGCTCAGGGTGGATCTAAGCAGTCTTTGTCTCTTTAGGGTACCCATAAAAGCCTGAAAGGGAATGCAAGAGCCTTGTCCACAGTTACAGCAATCATCGATGGAACAGGATCTGTAGGTAAGCCAGAGCTGTAAGGTAGCCTGCCTTAGTTGTGGTAGGTTAAAACAAAGGATCTTTGAGAATGTGGGCTCTCTCCAGGATGCAGTACAGCTTTGGAAATGGGGACTAGAGCAAACTTAGCATTAAATCTCTCTAGCTGTCCCTGAGGGAGGGAGGAAAGAAAGAAGGAAGAGAGTGGTAGACTCTGGGCACAGACAGCAAAAGTAGATACCACTGGGCTCTTTCTCAGATCAGGGATATTTTATTCTTGCCCCTCCACACTGGTACGTGGAAGGGAAAATTGAGTAGGATTCAGCTTAATACTGAATGGTCATTTTGTTGAGCCGAATATAGGCATTTCTCAAACTTCTAGTCTTCCAGCTTCCCATGTGGTAGGGTTCCCATTGGCTTGCAGCTTTACTAGTAATGTTTTGAGCTTTCTGTAACCTTTTAGTACATAAGTACTGAGTTAATTAGGTGGAGAAATTGATATTCTAACTCAGAATAACTATCTTTCAGCTTAGTAAATCTTACATTGCATCACTCTGACAGTATCAATATTATATTTTAGGTGCAGCTTTGGGGCCTCTCTTAGCTGGTCTTATTTCCCCATCTGGGTGGAACAACGTCTTTTACATGCTTATGATGGCAGATGCATGTGCCTTGCTAGTAAGTCTAAAAATACTATTTAGTTGCCATGTATTTCCTTTGTGCTAAACTATCTTAAAATGCAAATTTTCTTTTTGCAATTTCAGTACTCCGTTTAACAAGAAACTTCCAATTGTGTAGGAAATTTTCAATTAAAGAGCAAATTTGCTCATTTTGAAATTCTCATCTAATTTTAATCAAAAGTGTAGATTAGTTCTGATGTACTTCAGTTGCAAGCAACTACACATCTGTTGATTGCTGGCTGAGCAGATTGCAGCAGGCATAATTGTAAGTAAACCTTCATATACAGACCTAGAAGATGCCTCAGATTCCACTCATGGAAGAATTTTCTTTAGAGCTGGTTTAGCGAAGTAGTAACAAATGCTTTGCTACATTGCTGTATCACGAGAATCACCGCAATAATGAAGATGTTGAAAGGTAATACATTGCATTCTCCAGATGGGCCCTAAAACTGCTGTACTGGGTTTGACAGAAAACTGGCATCCTAACTTTTGACAGTCACCATGAGCAGATGCTTAGGGAAAAGGATTGCAGCACACTCATGGTGCCTTGGTACAGAACACATCCATTTTCCCTTTTTCTCCTGTTGGAGATCCTATATGATTGATAGGAAGAGCTGGAAAGTTGGTTGGCTTCTTTTCCTCACTTCTGGCTTGCTCTGTTTTGCTTGTAAAGACCACAGAAGACACAACATGAGGCAAGGAAAGTCTTGCTGTAGCTTTGAAGCCAGTCTTGCTTTACCCACCTGTAGGTTAGCCTGAAGGTTATGTGTTTGTGTTTGCCAATGATTTCCCTGGCAAGTGTCTGTACAAGCTTTGTTCTGCAGTAGAGCAGAATGCTGCTATGACCTCAGGGATGTACTGAAGCATCTCCTTTTGAAGTCTTGGGTGGAAGTGCTTATTGAAAGGGCAAGGTGACTGTGAAAACACTTCAGATGTACTCCTCATCCGTACTGGCTATGATCAGACAAAGACCCGTACCTGCACAGTATTGTACTGAGCTTTGTTCTCCTGCAGAGGAGCTAATGCTGAGTGCCTCAGACCACTCTTTCCTGACACAAAAAAATCAGGAGTTCTTGCTTTGAGTTACAAGTGAGGCTTTTTTCCTCAATTTGTGTTAAGCCCAAAATGTTAAGGTACATTTTTCCACATTTAAGATGTGAATTCTCTGGAAGTTAAGTAAATAAATTAGGTAACTTAATAATAATTAAAAAGTTTAAAATGGGTAAGTTAATAATTAGGTAAGTTAATAATTAGGTAATTAAATGTTGAAATATCTTGCCACTGGTAGTCAGCAGCTCTGTAAATCTTTGCTTGTGCTGCTTTCAGTATTAGGTATTTCATGCTTGCTCAGAGAGTGAGGTTTGGGAAATTGTTGTAGTTTTCCCAAGGCAATTTAAAGCTCTGCTCTTTTTCATGTATAATTACTTATTAAAACCACGTTTCTTTACAGCAACAGTTAAAATGCCTTTCTAAAGCTCTATTTTTGAGAGGCTTGGCTCTGTGCTGTTATAATAAATCCTGCGTTTTGTAATTCATGTTCGGTTTTTCCCACTCTTTGCAGTATAGCATATAGATGCCTGTGTTCAAAACATTATTTCTTCAAAGGTATCTGGAGGAGCTTTAGCCTCTTATGTGGTATTCAGTGCTGTCATTCTTGACCACTGCTATACCTCTGAATTGTTCTATATGCAGGAGTGAAACCTTAAGATAAGGAAACCCATAACAGTGAGGAGCCCTGGAAGTTCTGCTTCTGGCTTTAATGTATATGGGAATCATAAAATTTTATTTCTAAAATCACTTTCCTGGGTACTATCTCGGTACAGCTTTTAAAGTGCACTTGAAAGTCCTGATCCTGCAATTAAACATGGCTGACATTATTCATCTTGACTAATTGTGTGATTAAAGCTTTTTATACATAAAGCTGTTTTTCAAAGTAGCAGCTAAAACATGCTATGCTCTCAACTGTCTTTATCTGCCGTTTTTTTTGAAGTCTTGGGTTCCCTCTGCTGGTTTCTTTACACATCTGCTGGTAAAGAAACTGGAAAACCACTCTGGTTTTTATGAAAAAATCGATCTCTTAGTTGTGAAAAAGGAAATTATTTTCTGCTTGTTTTTTTCATTGTAAAAACTCCTCTCCCAAACATTGAGCTTGTAAATCCTTTTATTATTTTTTTTCTTAACCAAGTTCAACAATTCAGGGCAATATTTCAAATGAGGAACTCTTTGAATAACAGTGAACATCTTGTCCTGAAACTTAGTTTATTTGTGTATCTGTATAGATACTAACACAGATACCATGACTGCTTTTACAGTTCTTACTTCGTCTTATTCAGAAGGAGCTTCGGTGTAATGCAGATCATACCCTGTAAGTGTTATGCATGCCTATTGCTCTTTAATAACAGTTTAAAAACATGTTACTAAGACTTTGCCCCAAAATATGTTACTAAGACTTTGCCCCGTAATACCTAGATTTAGACTGAACTTGTTGAGGTTTCTGTGTATCCATTCCTGTATGTTTTAATTTTGTTTCAAGAGAATAACCTCAGTTTGATGTTTTCAACTAATGAACATTTTATTTTTAGTATGTCTTATTTTGAAGAGTAGCTGAAAACACATCCCTGTCATAGAATCATAGAATCATAGAATAGTTAGGGTTGGAAAGGACCTCAAGATCATCAAGCTCCACCCCCCCTGCCATGGGCAGGGACACCTCGCTCTAAACCATATTACCCAAGGCTTCATCCTGGCCTTGAACACTGCCAAGGATGAAGTCATGGTCTCTTGCTTATAGTATGGTTTTGCCCAAACGTGTAATCTTCCTGGGTTTCATCATGGAGCATGCAGGTGGGGAATAAGGAGCTACTCGATTGCTTGTTCTGTTTTTAAGAATAGTTTCAAATGTAACTTTCTCCAAAAGTTCTCCCTAAAGGAAGGGGTGACTCTGAATGTACAGTGTTTTGAATTGAGGAAAACCAAAATCCACTGAATCAGTGGAGTTACACTTGCATACACGAAATCTAAATTCAGTCCCTTGGTTGTAATTCTGTAGAAGTAAAATGGTCGGGGAATAGAAAAATGCATGGCAAGGGATGGATCCTGGGTTGGATACTGACTGCATTTTTATGTTAGCGACTGTTAGACCTCACACCTCAACTTTTCCTGCCTGGTTACTGCCCTTTCCCAGGTTTAAAGAACACTGAGTGATGCAACTAGATTTGGAATAAGGACTCATCAGTGATCAGAGCTCTTCCCTGAAAAACAAACTTCATGGAATGCATTGTTCTGTATTGAAGAGATTCTGTTTGGTGAAGAACTTTGCACGTTTACTGGAAGCAGTGTGAAAAATGCAGCTGGTGAATCCCTGAAGCTCTTATTTTTGCACATGAATAAGTACCTCAAGATGGCAACTATTCATCAGATGAAGAGACAGGAACTTTAGGAAGGTTTTAGCAGTGCGCCTCAACTGAGCCAAAGACAAATACCAAGTGCCTTTTTATTTCTTTTCATAGGATGTTTTTAATTAAAATGCCGAACTGTGTGTTTTCCAAAAACAAGTCAAACTGAGAGCGTAAGGAAGTTTAAATCATCACAGTCCAGCAGTGAAAAGTACCAGTGTCAGTGAGCATAGTATGTATCCCTTATGTCGTCTCGTGCACATCAAGGGCATCGCTTTATAGAGGACAGTAACAGCTGGTTATTAAGATGCACTGTTATTAGTATTTTGAAGCTGCTCAGACAATAACTTCACCATATGATTAGTTTTTAACTACAGTCCTACTTCTAATCCCAAGGACAACACCCAGCATTTTGGTAGGCAATGAAATGGAATTTACTCTTGTGGTGTTCTGCAGTTAGCAGTTTTCATAGACTCTCTGGATGGGTGTTAGTCCTCAATTAGGATTGTGCAAAAGAGTCCTAAGCAAGAAAAAGTAGGTGATGAGTGAGAACGTTCAGTGGGGGGTGGGGGGGGCCTGTAATAATTTTCAGGGCATTATAGACCGGTTGTGCAAGCATAACATAATTGTGCTGCTCCACTAGGCTGGGTTGAAATGAGAGAGTGTTCCCTTAGGGTAGCAGAGAACTGTGAGCTGTCATACTTGAGAGCTCTACAGGATTGATCAGATGAGCTACTTTAGTGCCCGCTGACACTGTGTTCACTGTTGGGTACTCCCTGATTTTAATGTTGGTGTGTGCATGTGAATGTCATTGTCAGATCAGGGCCTTAATAACCAGAAATCTCTTTCAAGTGGCTGATTTCAAGTGGCTCAGAATTTCAGATTTAGAGCCAAAATATTAGAAAAGAAAAATGGCCTAGGTGGTAGGTTGTAAGAGAACATTTCAGTAACTAGTGCTACCCAACGAACAGACAGTTTAATGTCTTGAAAACATATCCTTTCTTTGTATAGCTATCTCCTTTGCAAAACAGATGTTCCTGTGATTTATTGGTTGGGGGTTTTTTAAGATGTACAAAGGAAAAAGGAGGGGGTTTTGTATGAGGCATTTATACTCAAATAATGAAGGCTAGATAATTCAAACTGTATTATTATTAACTGTATTTATTAAAGCTCTAGGCACATGTCTTGTTCTGAACTATGCTCTCAGATTTTGTGAAACAATGTAGTAGTCTTTACACTTGATTAACAAAACAGCACGTTCTAAAATAGTCCAGCAAAATATCGTGGAGAAATGTCTCATCAGCTGCTGGTGTTGTTCCATATGCTGGCACAACATTTAATTTCCAGGGCTGATTAGTAATTGTTCGGTCTTTGATGAGTTACTTCACTGGTTTGATTCAGCTCGTGCTGTATGCTTGACTTGAACAGTACAAGAATGTGTTCATTTTTAACTGTTTTGTTGAAAACCACGGAAAACCTCAGTCCCACAAAGACTTAAGGAAGGCACCAAGTCCTTGCAAATGAATGCTGTATGCAGGCCCCAACCCTGCAGTTCCCTAAATGAACGGTTAACTTCAGATTTTCAGTAAGCCTGTTGAGACCAGTAGGGATGCTGAACATGTGAATTCATACATCTGTGCTACGTTTGGGCTTCAGGCTGTAGTTGAATATGACAGAATTCTTCAGTAACGTTATTTGGAAGGACTTCCTATTACAGTGGCATGGAACACTGCTCCTCACTTGGCTAGGCTGACCCTGGGGACTTAGAGCCAGACTAGGGGACTGATGTTACCCTCTCATGGGGGGAAGAGTAACACTGCAACCCCAAAACAGTTGTATTGGCACACCTTCAGTGGCTGTGTGAGAAAGGAAGAATGGGGGACTTAAGCTGAAGGTGCAGATCCCTTTCCCCCCAAAAAGGTATGTAGACCTTTATACTAGTTTATAAGAACAGTTTAAACTCTGCTGCACTCAGATGTTGAGAGGCCCCTATGGGCTGAAGTCTTCGGTTAAAAAGCTTTCAGTTGTATCTAAGTTAAAGGTTGTAAAGGTATTTAACCGTGTCTTGGGTTTTACTTGTTGGGCTGCTGCTGTTATTTATTTATTTATTTGAATAGCTTTTGCACTGCAGTGACTTGGGTATGGGATGGTGACAGTGTTGGAGGTACTGGGCTGAGCCCTTTGTAGGCAGGAGTTAGGCTCTTAGTGAGTTGATGTCTCCTTCTGTGCTAATGTACAGCATTTCAGTTCCTCCCAGCTATGGATTTGTTGGACAAAAGATAAAGATTTGCTTTTCTTTTTTAACAGCCCTAGAAGTCCCCTAAAAGTTGTGAATAAACTGTGTGTTTTGTTAGTATCGGGTGTCAGTATCTGTTAACCTGGAAGTGAACAAGACTTGACAAAATTTTGTATGTAGAAATGTGAGTGACCAGTATGTAGAATGAAATTTAAGTATGACTGTATGACTTTGGGTTTTTAATGCTGGTTGTTGTGAATTTTATCCATTTACAGTCCTGTGTTGAATAAAACCAGATTCTACTTTAAAATGGGAAATGTTGATTACTTCATTTTTCACATCTCCATGAAGAAATGCTTCATATGGAAGGATGGATATCCCTGCTGGGACAGTGCTCCCATCTCCTGTGAGGGTAATGAAAATGGTTCAGTAGGAGAACAAATTGGAACTTTCTGTTTTGAAAACAATCCACTTGTCAACTTGAATATGTAATCTTTTTTTCATTTTGAGGGATTGTGGGTTGTACACCATTAGTATTTCCAATCAACTGCATCAGATGGGTATACTCACTTATTTTGGTGTCATAGGGAAGTAGGACACTCACCTGAGGCAGGGACTGAGTCCAGCTCCTACAGCATAGTTTTAAGGTGATTTTTTTATTGTTGTCTGCTTTGCTTGCTCTTCAATTTATATGGAATTGAAATTGAAAAGCTTCATCACTTCTCTCTAGCTCTCATAATCTTGAACATTTATTGTCTTAATTCTGTTACGTTTGATGGAGTTTGTGTGCCTCTGGCACTGCCTCCAGCAGAGATACAATGTCCAAACAATAGATGTGCCAGGGAAGAACTTATTGGAAAAGAAAATAATTTCTGGTTACAAAAAGACGTCTGAGGGTTTTGGACAGGATTTCTGATCAAAATGTGTTCAAGGTGCCTCCCGAGAATAGATAAATAATAGTTGGGGCATCTTCAAAAAGAAGGGAGACTTGGATCTGAGTTTCTGTTCTGCCTGATTTGGAGCAGAAGCCTCAAGCAGGGTACTGAGCACCCTGGCTGCTGCTGGACACACTGCAGTGGAGGTCTGTTGTGTGTAGGAATCGTAGAATGGTTAGGGTTGGAAAGGACCTTACGATCATCTAGGAAAGGTTTTATAGGGTGGGAAAAATATGAATAGGTAGCAGGGAAAGTCTGAGACTTCTTTTGCCTGTGAGCGAAACTGCTAACCTATTCCATGCACTAAGATACACCTACTCTTGTATGTTTTTCCAGTTAGAAAATTCCAAACAGGATTCTGTCATCTGCTTCAGGAGGTTATTACATGTGTTTCTGATATAATATCCTTAGAATAACAATGGGAATCCTCCACCTTTCTTTGTGCCAGTGTCACACTACCTCAGACTCTGGCTGACTTCATCATGTTTATGCTTGGGTATCTGTTTGGTTGCTGCTGGTTTCTCCAGCGACTGATGTGTGAAGATGTTCATATGAGAAGTGCTGCTCAAAACTGGGTAGGTGTTAGATGGTATAAATAAAAGCAGATAATGTTTAGAGATGTTGGAAGCTAGTGGTCCTGATATGGAAGTAATTTGAGGAAGATTGTTTACAATCCCATCAAATGATGAGGCCCAGAATTTGTAATGGTGGTGTTCTCTGATCTGAATGAAATTTTATGGCCTGCATATTTTTACATTAGAGGTTACATTGTATTATTTCATGATTTGTCCCAACCTGAGTGTTTATCTGATACGATGTTCTGACTGCTGGCCTACGTCACTTTCCCCTTGCAGCAAGTCTGGTTTGGTTCTGTTTTGCTCTCTGCTAAACCAGCCATGTGATGCTACAGACTCTTCCTCCTGCCCCCATCTCGCAGCCTGCTGTGCCAGTGGAGGGACTGCAGACAGTTCCCCAAGAGGTCTGCATCTGTGTGCTCTGGGGCTTTGGTGACCTTGAACTACATTTTCTGTCATTCCAAGGCTGGAGAGAGGGAACGAGAGGGTTTAACTGCTAGTGTGCTGCAGCCTCATGTCCACTGACTTTAACATCTCATTGTGTGTCTCACTGCCTCAAGAGTTTAATAAACTTTAATTGCTATGAAATGTTGGTTGTTCCCCTCTTTGTCTCCCTTCTTTTGGTTAGTTTCCAGTTTGGAATAAGGAGAGAATTAGTTGACATCATCAGCTGGTGCTTAGGGTTTATTTTTTTCCTCTGGGTTTCTCTTTTTGAAGTATACCAGTTACCCTTCTGCGGCAGTGAGATTTTTGCATCAGCTCTGTGGACTGTGAATACAAGAGCCAAATTTTCTTTAGGCTTATTTCACCTGCTCGTATCCTACATCAGGAAATCAGCCGTCAAAAATGTGCTGACAGTCTCTTTTGATGCTGTACTTACCTAGAGGATTTTAGGGATGTTTTCTTCACCTTGTGATGATACTGGGGGTAGGGTTTTTCCTCCCTCCTCCTCTTATAGAAGCAGTGGACAAATACTTAGCCACATTTCCACAACAGTCCCTTTTATCCAGTTGGTTGTTTCAGGCAGAGGAGGACACTAAGCTGACTTCATGTGTACTGCCATGTAAGTATAAACATTTGAAAGCTATTATAAAGCTGATGAGACAGGTGATGTGTTTTGCTTAGATGGAATTGCAAAATCATTTCCTTCCTGGTGGTTGATTACCAGCTTCGCTCCTGGCTTCCAGCCGTTCGGAAATAGAAGACAAGAGCTCTTTTCATGAACATTTTATGCCACAGCTTCACATCTTAAGGGACTGTCTTTCTGGCTGCAAGTTGATACAGGTATTCTGTAGCATATAGTAAAAGTATGTTTACATGCCCGTAGAATATCCTTGCTTGTGGCTATTAAATAACTATGCAGATGTGAGTAAATACAAACTGGTCTGTCTTGTTTTGTTTTATCTTCCCCTACTCTGAGAGGTATGTCCGCATGTCACTGAGGTTTAAAAGAAATAAAGTGGCAAAGGGAAGTAAAGTACCCATTAACTGAAGTCGGCAGAAGGCTGCGTTCATCTAAAAAATAGCAAGGGCCTTTGTGTGTGAAAAATTGGCTATAGATTAAAAAAGGGAAAGTCAGAGACAGAGATGGTTCAATTTTGGAAATTAAAAGAAAGTGGAGGACATAAACTGATGACGCATAATTAAAATGCAGGGTGTAACTGGGTTGCTACAGAAATGTGAATGTGGGATGGGATAACGGTAAAAATTGAAAGAAGGTAAAGCACAAAAGACTCAGCTGACTGGAAAACTACAGAGAGAGGTGGAAACCTGGTGTTGTGATTAAAAATGGAGGGGAAGAGCCACCCTGCCCTGAAGGTGCTGTGTGCTGAGCAGTGTTTGCAATGGGAACAGGGGGCTGCTCTTCCCATCTGCCCCTGCTGGGCACTGGGATTGGCCTTGGGAGAGCCTAGGAACCCTAAGGGATGTATCCCATGGGGAGAGGGCTGCTGTGGCTGGACATGCGACTGGTCAGCTGCACGGTCACTTCCTACCTGTTATTTAGGTGCATGTAACCTGTCAGAAACCAGGTGCTTTGGCCTGAACAACTTTCCAATTTTTCAGCTCCCAGCAGGTTCATTTGGGGTTCATTTTTTGTGCTCACATTCCTAGTTTTTGCTTTTTTTTTCTCTCCAGGAGCCAGTTGGTTGCTGTACTTGTAAGAAACACCTTTGGGGGTTGGGTGACATCCTGTCTCCATGCTGCAGCAACCCAGGGCTTCTGCAGGTCCCTGTGGAGCCGCTGTGGGACTTAAATCCGCTAGCATCCAGTTAGTTGTTTGCTTTTGGGCATCAGTGTGCTCCTTTGCTTCAGTGGTGGCAAATTGGGTGCAGGGTTGGGTGAGCAGCTACTATAAACCTGAGTGGGGCTGAGATTTTGCATGCTCTTCCCAGGCAAGGTGCCTGTGTGAAGCCTACTTTGAACTACCTCCATCATCTGCAGGTTATTGCAGTTACTTGAATCTGGGCTTGATGCTAGAGGCAGTGCTTCAAAATGTCCTAGAACCTGAATTACTCTGATATTTTCAATTATTTACCATTGTACTGGTCAGTTCTCCTGCTCTTTTCACACTTACAGTGTCTTTTAAAAAACACAATTGAAAGAAGTACACGTGTTTCTCCTTTTTCCTTCCCCCAGAGGTTATTTCTTGCATAAACCCAGACCTGAGCATGTAAGTTTGCTCCCAGTATCACAGGATGTGGATTTTGTGTTTGGTAGAAAATCGGCTTTTGTGGCCTGCCATGTGTGACAGAGTCCATTTTCCCCGTTGTTTTGCAGGGCAAAACGTTGGCAAGGTGGTATTAGATGAATTGTAGCAGAGCAGGGTGAGGTTAAGTTGATTAACCTTTCCCAACTGTGAGTGCTTTTGCAATTGTGCTCATAGGCTGCAGTGAAGGCATAATCCTTTCCATAACTCCTTATCCCTAGGAACTGATTCCCCTTTCACTTGTGTAGCTCAGGAGAAAGTTTTTGGAGAATCCAACAATTGTATTTAATTCCTTGCTGGTTTGAACACTGAAGTTCTTTTTAGTTTCTCTGGTACCTCAGTTTTTCTTGGGTTATTCAGAAACCAGCAGCAGCTTCTTTCATGGAGGCCAGAACTCAAAACAGCAGCCTGAGTGCCTATATTAAATCAAGAGGGATACAGAAGTGTCTGTATATGCATATACACACACACACACAAGTTTCAGCACAAACTGGGACGAAGTTGAAAAGGTTGGATTTTACTGCCCAGTTGGTGCGGGGAGTCAGTAACTTCTGAGTTCTCACCTTCCTCTATTTTGTAATATGAAGGGTAATTGGTATAGGCACCCGTCATAGCCTAGGGACTACAATGCAGGCAAAACTTTAGGAAGGAGTGGGTTTCTTATGGCTCTTCTGCCAACCACAGTGACGTTATTTCTGCTGCAGAGGACAGAGTATTGTATTTGAATGTAAGTCACCCAGTTTCTCCACAGGCCACGTGAGACATCAAGTACTGCAGGTTCTGAATCTATTCTTAAATTGCTCTGATCATTTGGTAGGAAACAGCAGAACATTGCATCTTTCTGTGTCAGAATCTATAGGTTTGGTTTTATACCAATAATATAACAGATTCCATTTATCTTCTCTGTTAGAAGTCTTTATAAAGCTTCCTCCCCTTTTTCCTCTGGCTGCAGCTTTCCAGTTACATAAAAGGAAGAAAGCACATTAACAAAGAACAGAAGAAGTCCCAGAAATGTATCAAAAGCAAATGTCTTTTCCCAAATAAAAAGACCTGAAATGGTGTGCAGGGTCATCGCTGCTGGGCTGACCATCACCCCATCA